GTCTAATTGTATCTCTGAGTTGCCTCTGAACAGGCACCATGCAAAAATAATGTATTAGCTTTATTATTATACAAAGGGACATCCTTCCCCACCTAGGAAAGCACATTGAAAAAGCTGTATTTATTTTGGACCTGCATATCAAGGGATGATTCCTGAACTTTTATCTTTAACCAAATGAGTGCTGTTGTGACAAAGAATTTCAAGAGGTACATGGCAACAATTAGTTTTCAGAACATACTTGCAGGAGGAAAAGAAATAAAATGGTCTTCTTAAAAAAGACAGGTAAGAAATTTAGATCTCTCTTCTACCACCAGAAAAATACCACTTGCTCAAAATCTCATGTAAAAACAGTTATACTGACACTAAAGCTACAGCTCCCCTGCCACATGACAAGGCTAAATCACTTTGGTAGACTGTGGATTCTAAGAGAGATTTTATTCCCCCTCCCTTTATCTAGCAGAGTTTTTTTGATCAAAAATAAAAAAACCAATTCTAGCAACAGCAGGAAATATTTCTATAGAACAGGAATCTCTCCCCTGTTCAGGTTTTTAGTGGGCTAACAGGAAGCTTATCTTTCATTTTCCTTTCTCAATTTAGAGTACTCTAAACTATTCTTGCTTGGCCCTTAAGACGCTTAAATAGTTGCTCGTTTGGTGTCTTGCTTTATAATTTTTAATAACATGCAGAGATTATAATTTCTCAAGTGTGTCTTCACTGAGAAAATAAGAGTAAGACTAAGAACTGAGTTTTAAATTATCTACATAAAGATCATCTAAACTAAAAGAACTAGTGAATTCCAATTGTGAAGTTTGAAAAAAAAAAGGCTATATTGAACCTTTGCTCTATTTTTCAGTACTCAGTCTCCTTTATTTTAACTGAAAGTTACAACTCATATAATTACAAATAAGGCAGAAGTGTTCTTATGAGTGACTGGCTTTTGTTTTCACCATCTGATTTACTTTTCACCATTTATGTTACCATATATATACAGAATCACAGAAAATGAGGGTTGGAAGGGACCTCAGGAGGTCATCTCATTCAACCCCCTGCTCAAATCAGGACCATCCCCAAGTCTATCATCCCAGCCAAAGCTTGGTCTAGCTGGGCTGTAAAAGCTTCCAAGGATGGAGATTCCACCACGTCTCTGGGTAACCTGTTCCAGTGCTTTACTACCCTCCTGGTGAGAGAGTTTTACCTGATATTTAGTCTGAATTTCTCTTGACAACCATCTCTTTGATCTGTTATCTGCCACCATTGAAAACAGTCTAGCTCAGGGTGTGTGAGTATTTGGGCTGAAGGGCCACTTAACAAGTTTTGGTGACCTGTTGAGGGCAGTGCGTGCGCGCAGTCACATGAGCTCCATGCAGCTGGGCTGAGGCTGATGCCAGAGCAGAAGTGGGGGCATGAGTCTGCCTGGGGCTGTAGTGTCTTATTTCCGCTCCTCCCTGCCCAGCTTAACTGACACCAGCAGACAGACACATGTTGGGGGTGCGGCTTTGGCATTTGCAGCTCCACAGAGCTGGGCTGCAGGGGGAGGGGAGAATGCCCCTATCTCTTGACCTCCTGCCCCCACCCCACCTGCTGTGCAGACCCCAGCTGGGCAGAGCTAGGGCAGAGGGGGTTCAGTTCCCTGCTTTGCTTGCCCCCCTTGCTGTGTAGTGCCAGGCAGAAAGGCAGGGCTCTTGCCTCTGCTGGCACAGCAGGAAATGCTGCATGGAAGCAGCCCTGCCTGCCAGGCACTGCATGGTCAGACCCCCATTTCCCAGGCTGCTGCATGGTGCAGGGTGGACACTAGGGCTGTTTCCACACAGCATTTCCTGTTGTGCCAGCAGAGGCCCACAGGTGGGTGGTGGCAGTGGCTCCAAATCCAGCCCTTGCTGGCACCGTGGGAGGGATAGAATTAATTGGTAGGCTGAATAGGGCTGCCAGGCTGTATTTTGCCCACACCTGGTCTAGCTCCATCCTTTTTGTAACCACCATTCAGGGACTTGAAGGCTGCTATTAAATCCCATCAGTCTTTGTTTCTCCAGACTAAGTAAGCCCAGTTCCCTCAGTCTCTCCTCACAAGTCATGTGCTCCAGCTCACTAACCATTTTTGTTGTTCTCTGCTGGACTCTTTCCAACTCTTCCACATCCTTTCTGTAGTGAAGGGCCTAAAACTGAACACGGTACTCCAGATGTGGCCTCACCAGTGCTAAACAGAGGGGAATAATCACTTCCCTCAGTTTGCTGGCAACACTCCTACTAATGTAGTCCAGTAAGCTGTTAGCCTTCTTGACAACAAGGTCACATTGTTGGTTCATATTCAGCTTCTTATTCACTGTAACCCCCAGCTCCTTTTCTGTGGACATGCTGCTGAGCCAATCAGTCCCCAGCCTGTAATGATGCATGAGATTTGTTCTGCCCTAAGCACAGGAGTTTGTACTTGTCATTATTGAACCTCATGAGATTTATTTTGTTCCAATCACTCAATTTGTTGATGTCTCTCTGAATCCTAGTCCTACTCATCAGTATATCTACTACTCCCCCCAGCTTGGTGTCATTTGCAAACTTACTGACAGTGCACTCCATCCCATCTCCCAGGTCATTTATGAAGATATTGAACGAAATTGGCCTCAGAACTGACCCCCTGGACATTACTTGATACTGGCTGCCAATTAGACACTGAGCCATTGATTACTACCCTCTGAGCCCAACCGTCCAGACAGTTTTCTATCGACCTTACCGTCTATTCATCAAACCTATACTTCCCTCGGCTTGCCTGTGAGAGCATTGTGGGAGACCATATCAAAAGCCTTGCTAAAAATCAAGGTATATCATGTCCACTGCCCTCCCTGCATCTACTGAGGCAGTCATTTCATCATAGAAAGCAGTCAGTTAAAGGCACAACTGCTAGTTGGCCGTTCCAGCATTTGCACCAGGACGTTGTCCCCCGCGCTTTCCAAAAACTTCCTGGATTGCCTGTGCGCTGCTGTACTATCTTTCCAACAGATTTCAGAGTGACTGAAGTCCCCCATGAGAACCAGGAAACTTCTGCTAGCTGTTTGACAAAAGCCTCATCCACCTGGCCTGGGGGTCAATAGCAGACATCCACTGTGATATCATCCTTGTTCTTTCCTATGACCCTAACCCAGAGACTCAACAGGCCTGTCTCCAGTTTCATACTGGAGCTCTGAGCAATCATACAGCTTTTACATAAAGCACAACTCCTCCTCTTTGTCCCCTGCCTGTCCTTCCTGAACAGTTTAAACCCATCCATGACCATGCTGCAGTTATGCGAACTATCCCAAGTCTCTGTTATTTCAATTGCATAATAGTTCTGTGACTGTGTGAGAACTTCCAATTCTTCCTGCTTGTTTCCAGGCTCTGTGCAGTTGTGTATAGACATCTGAGGTGGCTAGCTTACTGCCCTACTTTCTCAGGAAGAATTGGGTGGCTTCCCCTGTTGGCCCCTCCTGCTTGTGCTTCCTCCAGCTCACCTGCTTCCCCATTTATCTCAGGGCTTTGGTCTCCATCCCCTGGCAAACCTAAAGCCCTTTTCACCAGGTTAGCAAGCCTGTCTGCACAGATGCTCTTTCCTCTCTTTATCAGGTGGATCCTCTCTCTTAATGGGCTGCCAGAAAGAAGTGGGATAAAACCTTCTCTCTTGCCACAGAGTGGAGAACACAGAGCAATGGCTTGAATTTCCAGCAAAGTAAGTTTAGATCAGATATTTGAAAAACTTCTTGTTAGAATAATAAAGCCTCAGGAAGCTGTGTACTTTCTATCACTGGAGGTGCTCAAGAAGAGATTGGCCAGCCACTATGCCTATGTTCTACTATGAGTATTTCCCATGCTTCTGGGCTTTGCTAGTTGCCCCTGCCCTCCCTTTTCTACTGTGTCAGGGTGTTTTTAAGCCTCCCTCAGAGACGCTGGCTACAGCCAAGGCAGGGGATTTTGGCTCCAGCAGAGCCAGTGCTACTGCTGGGACCAAAGTTGGAGGTTCCTAGATAGTGTTTTGGCCCTTTGCTCAAGGTCAGATTGATCACCATATTTGGGTTCAGGAAGGAATTTTACCCCATGGTCAGATTGGTATGGACTGTGGGGTTTTTGCCTTCCTCCGTAGCAGGGGACATTGTACCAAGGATCTCTACAGCATGTACTGACAGCATTTTATATAAGCAGGACATGGGCTGCTATGCTTCCCCTGCCTTAGCTGGGGCAGGTTAGGGTGTTAGGTCTATGTTGTATCAGGGATTACAGTAGACTTACGTAGAATTTAGATTATTGTTTGTATGGGATCATCCTGCCTCAGGCAGGGGGTTGGACTAGATGACCTCTGGAGTTCCCTTCCAGTTCTACTTTTCTATGATTTTATGACTCTTATCCCAGCCTTGCAATCACTGGCTACAAGCAACTTTTCCTTTTTCCCCCCCGCCAAAAGAAGTACATGCATATAGTAACATGCCTGCAGAAGGCTACTCAGGAGAAGTTGGAGAGTTGGATTTTTCACCCAAAGAGCTTTTATTCTCACAAAGCTTATGTATAAAATAACATTGAGCTCTCTCGAAATATCATTATTAAACAAGGGCAACACAGAAGTTCACTTCTTCAGTAATGATAATGGTAGCATATCACATGGAGCAAGGGTGAGAGAATTTTTTACTGGTTTTCTTTTCTTGAAGGGGAGTGGGAGAGCTACGCTTTATCATCAGACATTCTTTGGTAAATTCATGATAGCAGCATTACAGTGGGCAGAATTTCTACGAAGGTTTTAGTTAACAACAATGAAAGTGTAGGAGTAAATCAGATGTAACAACTTTACGACAGAGAATTTATTCAAAAGAACTTCCATATTGTATTATACATGCAGTGTGGAAGTCCTTAAATATTCCAAAGTGCAAAATGGGTTAAAGCTTGTGTGTTGCAAACTGATTTAAAAAAAAAAATCAACATCTTTTTTTTTTTTTTGCCCCTTTCCGGATAAGGCCAAAACAATAAGAACCAAAAGACACTTCAGAGAAGTTAGCCATGGTTTGTTTGTTTTTTTTTAATACAGATGTAGTACAGAATGTTTAATGTAGTACAGCAGGACAGTGTTTCCAGTTAAATAAAATTAAAAACCTTTATTTCCCCAAATATAAAATTACTAAATTAAATGTCTTAAAAGAATAATAATATGGTAAAAGCTTTAAATTACACCACCATTTACCACAGTAATTATGATCACCAATTACATACTCCATCACTTTGGCAAAAAGATGATTTTTTAAACAGTGTATAAACCTAAGATAGCAAAGACTGTATACATCTTTGTATTGCACTTATTTATATACAAGAATAAACAACTGTAAAATCAAATATATAGCATATACCTAGAATGAGCACAAAATTGTCACAAACTTAAAGCAGAGGACTGAGAGCTGGTATGAGTATTAAAAATGTTTAGAAATGTAATTAATTTATGTACAGAATGCATGGACTGTATTAACAAACAATATGTACATATCAATTTACTACTAATAATATTAAAGTATAAGTTGGTGTTCATTAATACAGACCTTTGGTTGTACTTAATTATTTTAATCAGCTTTAAGCTCACATACTTTCAAAATGCCAACAAGGTATAAAATGGAGCACAGCAATTTGTCAATGGTACAAAAACTACTATTGTCAGTTCCATTAAACCCAAAAAACTAGTGTCTCTATCTAGTCCCAAAATAGTTCTTGTATTTGGAATCAATCAGTATGTGCCATACATAAAAGAACACCTGAACATTATATATATGCAAACTTACATTCCACAACACTTTTTCTGTAATGTGCCATTAATTTGAAAAATACTTTCAAAGGAATAAGAGAAATTAACTTTTATGATAAAGTTTCCAACATACACCTCTGTAAAGACATTGTGAAAAATTTTAACATTGCCAGCAGAATTCAAAAATATATGTGCACCCTTTTGTTTTTCTATAGAACTATAACCACTATTTATCTAGTCCTGCGCCTCCCCCAATATTTAAGTGTGCTCAGTCTTTAATATTAATTTACATGGCTTGTATGTGCCCAATATTTAGCTCTATAATCATCCTGAGTTTGGAAGTGTTACAACATATCCACGCACACTTTAAGAAAAATTTACTTTCCTTTACATAACAATCATGCAACTGAAGATGATGTGGGCATCCCATGAACTGTTGTGCTTGTTGGAGTTCCACTTATGGCGTTGAAAATGTGTAGCGAATTAGACATAACACTGGTCTTTTCTTCAACAGGAGTAATCTTAAAAGAAAAATAGATTTCTTTACCATAACGTGATTACATGCATATACAATCAATTACAAAAATGATACATAAAAAACAATAAAATACTGGTCAATTTTCATAATGTGCTCTTTATCTACTCATATCTTTTTTATATTACCATCAGCTACATGCAATTTTTAAAGGGTTTATTAACACCGCTACCAGGAATCCTACCCTAAATTTTTAGGCCGCATGTTTGACATCCCTGCTCTACAACATATTGCTAAGTTTAGCACCACAAAATTGGATAATAAATATTTTTTCAACATTAGATAAATCCGTCCAATTAAAATTTTACACATTTCTCATTGGCTGAGACTTGAATAGCTCCTTTTTCCTTTTAGAACTTAAGGGAACAAACTTATCCTTAGAAAGCAGGAATAACTCTAAAGTCCCAGAGAGTAAGGAAAAGTTCAAAGCAGACTTTCATAAACTCGGTTTACAGATGGTTCACTTCTCATTAGAGAAGCAAAAGTTTTAGCCTCGACTGTCCCAGGAAGTGTTACGGACAAGATGATAAATATAATAATTATGTTAATCACTCAAATTCTTTGCTGTACTTTGACATAGACTACTCTACTATCATTTTCCCTCTGAAATTATATTCCCTTCTTCCTAAAAGGCTGTGCAAGTTTTACTGCCACATAGGAGTGCAAGGCAGCCTAGTCAAAGGATCTTACGGTAAACAACTGCTATTCTGACCATACTGTATAGCAGGGGTGTCAAATTTACCACTTGCCCTGGGCTAGGATCCAGCCCCAAACGTGCTTTGTGCTGGGGTGGCACCTCCAGTTATGGGTCCAGCATGGGGCTGAGGAGCTGGAGTCACTCTGGTGGCAACAGAAGTGGCTGGAGGGTGACCAGGGCTGTATCAGATTTTGCTTGTCCTATTGCAGCTGCTGACTGCCATGTCCACTGAGGCCCAAGGGCTCTGGATTCTGCAGCAGGCTGCTCCCCCCAACCACTCTCCCCAACTTCTGGAGGCATGCTGGTAGACTGGCATTCAGGATACAGCAACTCTACAGGCTGGGCTGCATGTTTGACATCCCTGCTCTATAACATATTGCCGAGTTTAGCACCACAGAAATTAATTCTCCTCCTGTATAACTACAATAAAAAGGAATGATAGAAAGCTAGGCAGAGAGGCTAAAAACAAAAGTACAAAAAAAAAAATTACCATCCCATCTGATCATGTTTGCAAAAGTAGTATGGGAGAGGAGAGAGAGAGAGAGAGAAAGAAAATGGTTAATTTTTATTTCTACAAAGCCCCTTGCTATTTCATTTAATGCATCATGTAGTTTCCTGCAATCAGCTGTTTAAGCAGTTCATAATATTAGCTGTTCTAATTTGTTAAATTTGATTTTTCACTGCTTACACAACCAACAAAACATTACTGAAAATGTTCAGTATATTTCCAATTGCAGAACCAAGTCAGGTAATTAAACATAGCATTTTTATAACAATCATAACAATGAATTTCAGACAAAATGGATTACAATTTTATCTCAGTTATTTCACTGTAATTTCATTCCCTAAAAGAAACTTTCAGGTCTTGACATTTAAGTTACAACTTAAAAGTAAAAGTAAAATTGGATCAATACTTACATGCAACCTGTCCAATTAAAATTAGCAGATTTACTAACACAGCACACCTGTATAACACCACACTGGTAATGTACAGTATTGCTGCATACTGACGTATCACTGTCATCTACTCCTGCTGTCCTGCAGTAATTTCTTCCAAAAAAAAGCTTTTCATATTTCTCTTTAACACTACAACAAGAATGGCACTCTCTCTTGTGCTGCTGACATTCTATTATCTTTCCAACTTTTTACCGTGACACGGTTTTAGATTCCTTCCTTCCACCCCTCAAACTACAGCCTCGTACAGACATTCAGTTTCTCCCGGGACAGTATCCATTTTCCTAGGAGAAATCATGAATGTACAGATGTTCAGAATATTTGTTCCAGAATGAAAATGGCTGCTCTCGGAGAAATACAACCAGGGAACAACCAGAGTTAAATTACTTCCAGGAGAGTTTCTTCTAGGAGAGTGAATGTCCGTACATGCTGATAAAGACTTACCATGATGTGCACGCATATTTACAACAGACTTCACCAGCAGCATTTCAAGAGTGGTTGAGGATCCGTATGTCAGCGGACAGATGCATCTGGTACTAGATAGTTGGTGGCCCCCCAGGTTCTGCTGTCATCTGTTGCCAGGCAGACTAAGGAAGCCTGCAGAGCATACGAGATGTGTGCACAGGGCCCCTCCTTGGCTGCACAGTGTCAGCTCTCCACTCTTCAGGGCCTCATCATTTGCATGTCTGTACATGTGGCTCTGGGTAAGGTTTTCTACCCTGAGAACAAACTTGGGAGAATTCTCCCAGATTATCCAAATGTGTGTATGCAGTTTATGTTCTAACTCTAATTTTGTCCTTGTTTTTCTTCCTATATAAACCTCCTTTACACACTTCTTTTCAGTCATGTTATTCCTCCTTCCTCTTTCCAAACCCTCCATCGGGTTCCTGCCTTGTGGCATATCAGGTTCAGCCATTCAAAAAGTATGTCATTCTTATCTGCCTTGTTTCTGTAAATCCCTCTTCTAACACGTCTTCCTTATCGTTTTTCTTTCCAAATTATCATTCTCTGTTTGAACCGCTGTCTTCACCTCCTTCCTTGCTTTCAACTGTAAGCTTTCCACTGCAGAGGAAAGGTATTACTCTAGACTCTGTGAAAAGTCACGTAGATAATATTTTATTTGGTTAAGAGAACATGAACAATTTTTTTTTATAGGACAAAGATATTCTCTGTGCCTGTACTATATGTTTTTAAGAGACATGTCTGGTAAGATGTGAGTATATTAAGGAGTAAAAGAGAAGATGCGTGAGAATCGTCTGCATTTGCCATAGGCTAGTGTTTTACCATAATTTCTTGAACATGAAGACACGATTCAGATATAAACAAACAGATGAAAGACTGAGGAGATATAGAAATACCAGCATGATGCAATGATGCCAGCTTGATGCACCAGTACCAGAGGAATCCCACCTTTTGGCAAAGGGAGTAAAGATTAAGGGACTGCAAGAGCTTGCTGATTAAGTTAATGCAGAGTTCTGCTATTGTCCAGGACAGGAAGCATTGGCAAGGCCACTGACTATGGATAAGGAGGTCTTGTGTATCAGCCAGACAGCTCATAGTTCTAAAATGTTGATGTGAAGACTGGTCTCCATTGTCAGCCTTTTCTCAAGATTTTTAGTTAATCTGTAAGGGATCCCCATCTTCAGGACAACATCTTTTGTAAGCAGAGGCATAGAAAAGGGTATTCTGCATCCTTTTCTCAGATCTGTTCACAACTATGAAAGGTGGATACCTGGAAGGGCTCCAATCATCTAGTACCAGATGCATCTGTCTGCTGACATATGGATCCTCAACCACTCCTTGAAAGGCCATGGTGAGGTGAAGTCTGCTGTAGAGACACACCTACATCATGCAGCACATGTCCCCAGTAAGTTTAGATCTTTGTCTTTGTCCTTGGGGAGGCCAAAGTCACAGTCTCTGAGGTCTTGCACAGCCAAACCTGTACTGAGGGAAGATGTGCTTGTGCTAAATTAGAATCTAGCAGTACACCAGTGAATTTCATGCAGAAGGTTGATGTCTGGATCAATTTTTCCTAGTTCATTTGGTCATTCCCCCCAAGTCACTGCTTCTCTGTATATTGCCATGGTTGTTGCCTGAAAAAAATTCTACTTTGCAAGTGAATATCCAGTTTCTCTGCCATATGGCCAAGTCCTGAAAAAGCTTCACTTCATTGAAGGAGGTTTGCCTGATCTCATTGGAAAGGACAGAGAGATACTGGAAGCTTGTGGTTCTTATATAGGTTGCTGAGGAACACAGGGCAAGAAAGGCTGCCCATCACATACATACCCTTTCACACTCTTCCCCACTCCACATTGACAAGCCAGGGCAGAGATTGGTGTTAACCAGATTTATTTCCTTGGTGAAAAGGGATTTAGTTCAAGAGACTACAGAAGTATTCGCAATACCGCAATACTATAAAAAGTATTTCACAAAATACTGTAAAAAACCCTAGTATTCACTTAGATTGACTTTTTTTAAATGGACAAAATTTGGGACAGCCATGTCATGTTCAGACTTCTACACAAGAATATCTGATGGAAGAGTGGACTATACTTGTTTTAAATGAGTAGGTGTAGTCTTGCCCTTGTTGCCCTAAATCTGTAACCATTTGTTTTCCCCAACGGGTTCAGATTATAGCACAAGAAACTTCATCCTGAATACTGTTACATTTAAATAAGTTCAGTACATACTTGTTCATGCATTATTTCAGAAAGCTCTTTTGCCATTTCTCTGTAGTTTGCCTTCATTTCTTCCTGATACTCTAACTGATCTTCCTTTATAAGTCGTTCATTTACCCCCAAGGCATGACCACAAGCCTCAACAAATTGTCTGAAATTGTATAAAAACAGAAAACAAAGTGAAACAAAGAAAACATCCACAATAATTATATCCAATGTTACTTAGTAATTTTGTACTCTCAACACAACTGAGACATTGCTAATGCAGTTAGTTCGTGAGTAAAAAGAAAATTTCAGTCTTGAAAAAAACAAGTCAGTGTATTTTCAGACAGTATACCTGAAAACTTCCTTCAGTAACTTCACTTTATTGTCTGGATATCTTTTGGTGTTTGTAGCATCCAAGAAAGCTCTTGCATACGCTAATGGACCAGCATTCACCTAAAACAAGAACAACAATAATTTAAAATAAAGCTAATTTGCTACTTTCCCAAACTATCCCAACTAAAGCATTCTGTTGTTTAAAGAAGTTAGATTAGCTTGTTTTGCTTAAGTGAACATACTGCTTTTTTAAAGTAATGGACTGACAAAAACTTAGTATATTTGAGCAGGCACAGCATAGCAAAATGCAGCATTTTCTCACATACCATATGGCCTGAAATAAGACACACACTTTGTTTGGGAAGACAGAAAGAAGTCAGGGAAAAAAGATTTCTGCAGGGTTGAGAGTGCTGACCGCAGGGGCAGCGTACATTCTTCAGCACTGCTGCTCAGCCAAAAGCTAGTTTTAACATTCTCACAGTTGCAGCCGAATTGGTAGCAGCTTTTTGGCTGCTCAGGCAAAAGCTACTTGCTGCCAATTCAGCAGTGACTGAGAGAAGGTTATAATTAGTTTTGACATGGAAGAGGAGTGCACTCCACCCTTCCTCTGTGGCCAGGAGAGAAACAAAGCACATGGCAGCCATTACAGCATCCCCATGCTTTCATTCCACAGAATAAGCTTCCCTGCTTAAGATGTACCCCAATTTTGGAGGACTGATTTTTAGGGAAGAGGTATAAGTGATATTCAAATAAACAAGGTATTTTTCCATGCTGCTTTCTGACTCAAAGCGATCATTTCAAGGGTGGCAGAAAGGCATAATTGAAATAAGTTGGAAATTTGTATTTGCATTGTTTTAGTTCATAACCCGCTGCCTAAGCAGCTTGTGAGCTAAAATGATTGTTACTGATCTGTTTATTTATATTATTAAAAAATGGTGTTATATATCTGAATTCTTCATAAAGCCTTTCCTTACAAAAAATAAGCGAGTTTGTTTTCATCGTTACTCCAGCCTCCTCCTCCATTTTACCCACTTGCTAAATTTTGTCTAACTAAGGTTGTAAGCTATTAGTGCAAGCCTATATAGTTGAAGACTTATCTAGAGCTGTACTAGAAGGTTCTACAAGGTCTCCGAGATATTTCAATGAAAAACTCCCCTGCTTTTGTGAGTTGAGGTAACCATCGTCTACTCTAAAGCAGAGTTCCTATTCTATAGGAGAAGAGCAGACCTCAAAGATGATCAAGATGCTTGGTTTTTTCCTTCTTTTCATGCCATCTACACATTTTTGTAGAATTCTTCTTCCCCCTCCCATACCCAAGACAGTGCTTCTGTCCTGTCTAAGTATCAGGACCTCTTCTCAGATGGCACTTCTATTTGGGACCTAATCTATAGCCTGGTATGGCAATGGGAAAATCCTTGAGAAGCAGCGCATTTACTAACTGACAACCCCTGACAAGGAGGTATTTGTAAATCAACAACAAACTGCTGGGTGCACACTTGACAGACTTCAAGATATACTCTAGTTCTGGTTGTGTGAACAATTTATTTCACAATTCAGATCTGTTAGATGACAGCTTTGATTACAGTATTGCTTCATATTGAATATTTCAAATAATTCAAACTTCTTTAGTTGCTCATTCTGTTCGCATGCCAATTTGTGTTTTTACAGCATGCCAAGTCCATCATAAAATGCACTGTACATACAAATCATTTTGAAGGGCTCCCATAAGTGTTACTGGAGTCATCTTTCGTGACTACTAGATATTTCTAAAATGTGACAGAAATATCTTTTCCCAATATATTAGTATTTGATAGGTGCAAAACCAAGACAGCTCACCATTTAGAAATAAGTGATAGATCATAGGGAATAAATCAATAGTCTTTTTTTAAAGAATTTTACAATTAAATTAATTGAGCCCTGTGGGTAACCTGCCCTTTGGTTCCTTCCCTACCCACCTTTCAAATATAAAAGTCCTCAATCTCAGCACCAACAGTAAGAGACAGTCAACAGCAGATAGACTGCTATCAATTAAGTCTGCCTCCAGGAACAAGGCTGCTTGCTATATCTGCTGTGTATGCAAATCTTAAATGCAGTGATTGAACTGATCTTTTTAAATGTAGGTTTGTTTGTGAAACAGTTACAGATTTTGAAATTCTTACATAATTATAAGTAAAATGGAGATAACATTTTCTAGCTAAAAATACCTTTATTAGATGGCCAATCATACCCAAACACTCTATAGTTGTGTAGTTACATACATGCATGCTAAAAATACACATCTGATCTATGTTTAAAAGGACATAATTAACGTTGCAAAGTCAAACACTGAAAAATTCCAGATTTATGGTTATGTGGGGAATCTTAATTCTGCCCCTTTTTTCATAGATTCATAGATGTAGGGTCAGAAGGGACCTAAGCAGATCTTCAAGTCCAACCCCCTGCCCTGGGCAGGAGAGAATACTGGGCTCTTATGACCCAATTGTCAAGCTTCCTCTTAAAGACCCCCAAGGTAGGAGCCAGCACCACTGCCCTTGGAACTTGGTTCCAGATCCTAGCTGCCCTGACTGTGAAGTAGTGCCTTCTAATGTCCAGCCTCAATCTACTCTCAAACAACTTATGGCCATTATTCCTTGTTACTCCGGGAGGTGCTCGGGGGAACAGGATCTCTCCCATTCCCCGCTGGTCCCCCCTGGTACGTTTATAGGCGGCCACCAGATCTCCTTCTCAGTCTTCTCTTGTGGAGGCTGAACAGGTTCAGGTCCCATAGCCTGTCCTCATAGGGTCTGCCCTGCTGTCCCTGGATCACGTGAGTGGCCCTCCTCTGGACCCTCTTGATGCTGGCCACATCTCTCTTAAAGTGCGGTGCCCAGAACTGGATGCAGCACTCCAGCTGCGGCCTGACCAGTGTCGGATAGAGGGGGAGGATCACCTCCTTGGCTCTGCTTGTGATGCATCTGTGGATGCATGACAAGGTGCGGTTAGCCCTAGTGACCGCATCCTCACATTGGCGGCCCGTGTTCATTTTGGAACGATAATGACTCCAAGATCTCTTTCTGCCACTGCGCTTTCAAGAAGGGAGTTCCCCAGCCTATAGGTATGCTGCTGGTTCCTACTGCCCAAGTGCAGCACCCTGCACTTGTCAGTATTGAAGCCCATCCTATTCTCATTTGCCCACCCCGTAACCTGTCCAGGTCCAGCTGTATCTAGTCCCTCCCTTCTAGTGTGCCCACCTTGTCCCAAATCTTGGTGTCGTCAGAGAATTTGAACAGGGTGCTTTTCACCCCCTTGTCCAAGTTGCTGAAGAGATTAAACAGTGCAGGCCTGAGGACAGAGCCCTAGAGGACTCCACTGCCCACATCCCTCCAGGTCGAATATGACCCGTCCACCACCACTCTCTGGGTGCGGCCCCTCAGCCAATTAGCGACCCATCTGACTGTGTCGGCATCAATGCCGCCGTCACCTAGCTTTTTAATGAGAATGGGGTGGGAGACAGTGTCAAAGGCCTTCCTGAAGTCCGGAAAGACTTCAAATCACTGTGACACCTGTGTCCAATGATTTTTTGACCTGATCATAGAAAATCCATTATATCCAACAAACTAGGCAAGAAAAAGTACATCTGAAAAGAAAAGGAAATCTATGCTTACATTACTTAACAAGATTTCCTATAATATGTATGTACATGCACACTCCTCCACACAATCTATTACCAGTGTATCTTTTCCACCATATTCTTAACTCTCTTCCTCAGTGTCACTATTCTTTTCACATTCTGTCCATCTCTGTGTGCTTTTGGCTTCACTTTTTCTTCCTAAACCCTGGACTAGGATACAAATGCAAAATGATTACATTTGAAGTGAACTTTAAAACTTAGGCAAAATGTAGTAATTATTCCTTTCTGTTTGGGAAGCCACTGCTTTATTTTATTTTCAACCTCTCACTCCAAAACCAAAAAGAGCCAAGCTTTTTTTTTTTTTTTTTTTTAAATACATGCGAGATATTTAGCCTTGGGCTCATAAAGTACATAAAAATTGAAACTGTGCAGCTGAAAAAGAGCTTAAACTTTTCAGTATTTGTCATTCTATATTTTACTATGAAAAGGAATAGCCATGTTTTTCTGCACAGCCAGCTGAATGATCTTACCTGAACGCTGACGCTTCCCTGTAGCTTTAGTTGTAGCTTGATCATATCTACTTCAGCTGAAGAACAAAGTTGCCTGAGTTCTGCAACCTTTTTGCTCATTGCATCAATGGCGACTTCAATGGGATTTAGATCAGTATGGTGCTGATACATTACAGGAATGCGCTTTTTCACGTAGGGAAAACAGTGTATTGCTAGGACAAAACAATACATAGTTTAAATAACATATTTCTGTCAATATCATTAGAAACAATGTATAGTTTGGTGACATTTTACAATATTCTTTAAAGTCAGTCTACTTTTCTTTTTCTCATTCATACAGCAAACAGCCTTGTCTAGTTAATACAAAACTACAAGTAATCAACTACAAAAAACAAACTGGCAAACAGTCTCCAATACCTTTGGCTTAAAACAGCTTTCATTTCTGGCTGTAAACAGCATGAAAAATGAACAAATAGAAGTGCTTTTTTTAAAACTGGAATTAAAAATTAACTAAAATATAATTTATTAATAAAAGTAGGGATATTCTGAATTATGACTATATTTAAGTTTAAGAGGCAGTTGCCAAATGCATGGCAAGAATGGGACGTCACAGTGGGTGTGAGTAGGCCACTTTCCTCCACCCTGCCAGATGGATGCTGTGTGGCACATGATATAGCCAAAAACATTTTCGTCAATAGAAAACTTGACACTTTTTTGGAGATTCCAAAGGCTTGAAGAAAGAAGAAAAGAAGTAGGAAAGGATGTCTGCTGGGCACATGTAAAAGTGGATAATGCCTAGTATTTAATGCAGGTAGACAAGGTTCTTTGAATATTTAATATTTCTGTTTTGGAGCTTGAGGGTACACTTCTGGAAAAGGCAAAGTGGCTCCAGAGTCTTTTAGCATATGGATAGTCTCACTGGTTTTAGCACTGAGGAAAAAGAGCTCTTCAAAAGTAAAACTCTGAACTTCTTTGGAAAACCCAGAAGGTTGCAGGCAGAAGAATGTCTTGGAGTTCTGGACAGCCATGTCCAAACTACAGAATAAGAGGTGGTATCTGAAGCATCAAGAAATGAAGTCTTCACTGCTATATGCCCTTCAAACTTGAGGACTAAAAGGGCTTCTTTGGACTCCTCAAGTAAGGAGTCTGTTATATGCTGACCACTAGCTTACTGACATGGAAGCTGGCCAGAAGAACTTGGTAACTGACTATATTTGGAACTGGAAGCTAGCATAAGGGTAAGCCTTTCAACTCTCTTTCAGAAGTAGCGCATAATTGCCCAGCTTTCTTATTTACCCAAGCTACCTTCACAGTGCATGACAAGACAATTATTCAGCCCATCTGAGAGAGATTTTTCTTGCAAGAACGTAACTATGGGTGGACAACCGGAGAATGAGCTCCCAGCCTGGTCACTATATCTGGCACTGGCCTGGCTCCCACCACTGCCCTTAATGCTGCGGCCACCCAGGGTGCAGATCTTTCTGGTTACACTCCTGGCTGACTGTCCTCTTCCAAATCAACATGGCTAGTCCTGTTAACATTTTATTAATTTGCAGGGTTACTTTAGTAGAGCTATAGCATAGCAGTATTTCAGCTACACTGTGAGCAACCCCACTGGGCTTTCTCTAGTCAGATATGAAGGGCCTGGACTGTATGCTCCATCACATCCTGAAAACTTCAGAACTTATCCTTATTAAATGGGATGACATTGGGACAAAAACCTCATCTGGCATAATGCTGGTGTTGATTTTAGAATAAGTGCAGATACAAGTACTTAACATGGTGAAATAATTCCAGAGGTGGTGCTAGAGAAGGAAAAAGACAAGGACTTCCAGGAAAGTGGAAGCTTGTGACCTCTGGCAACAAGCATAAATATTCACCACCACCTGCAGTGGTTTTGCTGGAGAACAGATAAGGAGCCCTAGCAACAGAAGAGAAACAGCACATTCCACAAGAGGCCAAGCCAAACTCCCCAAGATTGGAAGGATCAAGAACACTGCCAACAAGAGGAAGCGATGGATGGCGGTGGTTGGATACTCCCTTCTGCAGGGGACAGAGGCATTCATATGCTGTCCTAACTTGTTGTCTTGGGAGATCTGCTGCTTGCCTAGAGCCCAGATCCAAGATGTCATGGAAGGTTACCAGGCTCATTCAGCCCTCAAATGGGGGTGGTGGTGGGAATGAATAGGGGGTAGGAGGAATGAACAGGAGGCTGAGGCTAGGTGAGGCCCCCTAATGGTCCCCTCCCCACTCCTCTAGCCTCCCCAACCCCTTACTTCCCTGCCACAAAGCTGGGTGCAGGTCCCTGCAGCCTGCACTGCTGCTTACCTGGCACAGGCAGGTGCTGTGCTTCAGGACCAGGGCAAGGGCTAGCCATAGGGACACTCTTGCTGGCTACCCGAGCATCTTCTGTAGAGGACCAAGCCTCCAGTTGCTTCAGGACACGGTCTAGGACTGTGCTCTGCCCCGCTTTTTAACCCTCAGGGTATTTTTTGACTCCTGGATATCCAGGTATCTAATTTTGCTCCCGCATTGCAAATTTGCAGAGAACTTTTTTTGTTCCTGTACATGCCTCTTGCAGCATCTCAAAGGGGTTTGAGATGTTGCAAGAGGCACATGTGCGCTCATCTGGACACGTCAAAAGAGTCCAAGTCCTAATCAGTAAGTAAGAGTCACATCTGTATTCCAGGTAGTGCCAGAAGTCAGGAGCCATGAAACTGAGGACACCCAAACAGGATAAGCAGGAACAGAAAACTGAACAGAAGCCAGGTGAGCAACTGAAACCCAAATGAAGGGCTTCAGCTTACATATGAGGTTCAGACTACTTTACAGACTGATTTTGTCCCTTGCATCAGGTGCCATTCTGAAACCAAATGGCCCTGATAAGTGCAGTTTTTGCCTTCTAACACAGTCTTCCTTCCCCTTGACAGGAAAGATTGACAGTCACAGTTCTGAAGAATTATAAAGCCTCTTACGGCCACAAAAGATGCTGAAACTAGCAGAGGAACCATGAGTGCCAAACTGGTGGGGGTGGAATGCTAATGTGTCAATGACTGCTGGGGTGTTTATTGCTGGTTTTCTCTGGAGTTGACTAAGGGCAACCAACCAAGCCAGATGACAGTGCCAGATGATCTGTGCAGAACTGCTATGACCTACAGAGGTAGCCATAACTGCCTGTGAAGTCTCAGAGCCTCTGTGGACTTCAGCAGTATCTTAACTGGACTATAAAGTCCCAGAATACATTAAGCAAGGTCTTCTTTTTGGGTCCTAGAGAACAGGGGTCTCATCCAGGAACCAAACCTGGATGAGCAGCTGACCAGAAGCCAAGGCCATGGTGTAATGAACTAATGTTGGAGTACACATGACTGAGCCATGTCTTGAGTCATAGGGGCAAAGACCTCTTCCAGAATAGAGGAAGAAACACCAAAGAAAGGTTAGAGTATCTGAAAATGATGGTGCTATGTGGCAAAGTAAGAGGGTGGTGGAAAGAGTTGCCAAGGCCCCAAGAAAAAGTTGGCTATTAATGTATTATATCAAAACAAAAAGAAAATGAGTTTGATAAAGGAAAGAGAAACAGAAGGTCTCTAAAGGGCTTTGACTGTGGTTCATGATTCAAGATCTAGAACCCAGAGTGCCCAAGATTTTAAGCTACTTAAGGTGGACTGAGAATTGGATTGCAATGCTTTTTTCCTAGTGTGTGGAATATAAAAAGGGATGGGAGTACAGCAGACCCCTGAAGCAAAAACATCTCCAATTTTGACTGCTGTCACGCGTAGTAGCAAGAATGTTAATATGGAGCTCTTATCTACCTTAATTTATTAAGTTGTGTTATCCACCTATGTTTCTACGATTTTTTGAAAATAAATCCTTGTA